GCAAAGGTGGTCCTTAGAGGGAAGTACATTGCAATACAGGCCTACCTACCTCAGAAATGTCTCAAATACTCAGCATAACCTTACATCTAAAGGAGCTAGAGAAAGAACAGCAAATAAAGCCTAAAGCCAGCAGAAGAAGGGAAATAATAAAGATTACAGCAGATATAAACATCATAGAAACACACACACACACACACACACACACACACACACACACACAAAACAGGACAACTGAAAAACAAAATTAAGAGCTGGTTCTTTGAAAGAATAAACAAAATTGATAAACCCCTAACCAGATTTCTCAAAAAGAAAGAGAAAGTACCCAAAAAAAATCATGAACGTAAGAGAGATCACAACTGACACCAGAGAAATACAAACTATTATAATAGAATATTATGAAAAATCATATGCCAACAAACTGAACAATCTTGAAGAAATATATAAATTCCTAAAAACATGCAAACTACAATAACTGCAACAGAAAGAAATAGAAAACTTGAAAATACCCATAACCAGCAAGTAAACTGAATCAGTAATAAAAAAATCTCCCAACAAAAAAAAAGACCAGGGCCAGATGGTTTCCCAGGGGAATTCTACCAGATATTTATTTTATTTTATTTTATTTTTTTACTTTTACTTTTATTTTTTTATTATATGAAATTTATTGTCAAATTAGTTTCCATACAACACCCAGTGCTCATCCCAAAAGATGCCCTCTTCAATGTCCATCACCTACCCTCCCCTCCCTCCTACCCCCCATCAACCCTCAGTTTGTTCTCAGTTTTTAAGAGTCTCTTAAGCTTTGGCTGTCTCTCCCACTCTAACCTCTTTTTTTTCTTCTTTTTCCTTCCCCTCCCCCATGGGTTTCTGTTAAGTTTCTCAGGATCCACATAAGAGGAAAAACATATGGTATCTGTCTTTCTCTGTATGGCTTATTTCACTTAGCATAACACTCTCCAGTTCCATCCACGTTGCTACAAAGGGCCATGTTTCATTCTTTCTCATTGCCACGTAGTACTCCATTGTGTATATAAACCACAATTTCTTTACGCATTCATCAGTTGATGGACATTTAGGCTTTTTCCACAATTTGGCTATTGTTGAGAGTGCTGCTATAAACATTGGGGTACAAGTGCCCTATGCATCAGTACTCCTGTATCCCTTGGTCTACCAGATATTTAATTTTTTTTAACGTTCATTTATTTTTGAGACAGAGAGAGACAGAGCATGAATGGGGGAGGGTCAGAGAGAGGGAGACACAGAATCTGAAACAGGCTCCAGGCTCTGAGCTGTCAGCACAGAGCCCGATGCAGGGCTCGAACTCACGGACCGCGAGATCATGACCTGAGCCGAAGTTGGCTGCCCAACCGACTGAGCCACCCAGGCGACCCTCTACCAGATATTTAAAGAAGACGTAATACCTATCCATCTCAAACTATTCCAAAAAAAATAGAAATGTAAGGAAAATTTCCATTCTAGGAAGCCACCATTAACTTGATTCTAAAACCAGACAAAGACTCCACTAAAAAGGAGAATTATAGGCCAATATCCCTGATGAACATAGATGCAAAAATTCTCAGAGACTAGCAAATCAAATCTAACAGTACATTAACAGAAATTCACTACAATCAAATGGTACTTATTCCTGGTAGTTCAATATTCACAATCAAATCAACTGCATTAATAAAAGATAAGAACCATACAATTCTCAAAAGATTCAGAAAAAGCATTTGACAAAACACAACATCCATTCTTGACAAAAACCCTCAACAATGTAGGACTATATGGAACATACCTCAACATTTTAAAGGACATATATGAAAGACCCACAGCTAATATCATCCTCAATGGAGGAAAAAAAATGAGAGCTTTTCCCCTAGAGTCAGGAACAGGACAGGGATGTCCATTCTCACCATTAATATTTAACATAGTACTAGAAGTCTTAGCCTTGGCAATCAGACAACAAAAAGAAATAAAAGACATGAAATTAGCAAGGAAGAGGTCAAACTTTCACTATTTGCAGATGATCTGATACTCTATGTAGAAAACCCAAGGGGCACCTGGGTGGTCAAGTCAGTTAAGCAACCAACTTTGGCTCAGGTCATGATCTTGCAGTTCGTGAGTTTGAGCCCTGCATCAGGCTCTCTGCTGACAGCTGAGAGCCTGCTTCAAATTCTGTGTTTCACTCTTTCTCTGCCCCTCCCTTGCTGTTCTCTCTCTCAAAAACAAACATTAACAAGTTTTGTAATAAAAAAAAAAAACCCAAAGACTCCACCAAAAAATTTCTAGAACTAATACATGAATTTACCAAAGTTCTAGGATATAAAATCAACGTGCAGAAATCTGTTGCATTGCTATACACCAGTAATGAAGTAGCAGAAAGAGAAATCAAGGAATTGATTCCATTTACAATCAATTGCATCAAAATCAATAAGATACCTAAGAATAAACCTAACCAAAGAGGTAAAAGATCTGTACTGTGAAAACTATAAAACACTTATGAAAGAAATTGAAGAGGACATAAAGAAATAAAAAAAACCAAAACCGTGTTCATGGATTGGAAGAACAATTATTGTTACAATGTCTCTAATACCAAAAACAACCTACACATTTAATGCAATCCCTATCATTTTTTACAGAGCATTTTTTACCCCAGCATTTTTTACAGAGTTAAAACAAACAATCCTAACATTTATATGGTTCCACAAAAGACCCTGAATAGCTGAAGCAATCCTGAAAAAGAAAAGCAAAGCTGGAGGCATCACAATTCTAGATTCTAAGCTATATTACAAAGCTGTAGTCATCAAGACATCTGGCAAAAAAACAGACATGTAGATTAATGGAACAGAACAGAAAAACCAGAAATTGACCCACAACTATATGGTCAACTAATCTTCAACAAAACAGGAAAGAATATTCAATGGAAAAAAGACATTCTCTTCAAATGGTGTTAGGAAAACTGGGCAGTGACATGCAGAAGAATGAAACTAGACCACTTTCTTACACCATACACAAAAATAAACTCAAAATGGGTTTAAGTACTAAATGTGAGATAGGAACCCATTAAAATACAAGACTAGAACATAGGCAGCAACCTCTATGACATCAGCAAAGCAACTTCTTACTAGGCATGTTGCTGGAGGCAAAGGAAACAAAAGCGAAAACGAACTACTAGGACTTCATCAAGATAAAAAGCTTCTGCACAGTGAAGGAAATAATCAACAAAACTAAAAGGCAACCACCAGAATGGGAGAATATATTTGCAAAGTACATATTAAAGGGTTACTATCCAAAATCTATAAAGAATTTATCAAACTCAATACCCAAAAAATATATTATCCACTTAAGAAATGAGCAGAAGACACGAATGGACACTTTTCTGAAGAAGACATCCAGGTGACAGACACAGGAAAAGATACTCAGATCACTCATCATCAGGGAATTACAAATCAAAATGACAATGAGATACCACCTCCCACCTGCCATGATGGCTATAATTAACAACACAGGAAACAACAGATGTTTGCAAAAATGCAAAGAAAGAGGAACTCTCTACACTGTTATTAGGAATGCAAACTGGTGTAGCCTTTCTGGAAAACAGTATGGAGGTTCTTCAAAAAGTTAAAAATAGAACTACCCTATGATCTAGTATTTGCATTACTAGGTATTAACCAAAGTATACAAAAATACTGATTTGAAGGGGGACATGTGCCCCAGTATTTATAGCAGTATTATCAACAATAGAAAACTATGGAAAGAACCCAAATGTCCACTGACTAAAGAATTAATAAAGAAGATGTGATGTATATATATACAATGGAATATTACTCAGCGATCAAAAAGAATGAAATCTTGCATTTGCAAGGACATGGATAGAGCTAGAATGTATTATGCTAAGCAAAGTAAATCAGTCAGAGAAAGACAAATACCATATGATTTCTCTCATATGTGAATTTAAGAGATAAAAAAGATCAACATATGGGAAGGGAAAAAAATAGGTAAGCAAACCATAAGAGACTCTTAGTGATAGAGAACAAACTGAGGGTTGATAGAGGGAGATGGATGGCGGATGGGCTAAATGGGTGATGGGTATTAAGGAGGGCATTTTTGCGTTAAAGTAAGTGATGAATCAGTAAATTCTACTCCTGAAACCAATATTACACTATGTTTACTAACTAGAATTTAAATAAAAATTTGAAAAAAAAATTCTACTGAGGAAAAGTAAGATCTGCCACATGGCAGAGTAGGAGATGCCTTCATCCCTTCACAAGAAAACAAGAAGACAGCTATCCACAAATGAAAATAGCCCAGGAAGGGCTCAAGAGTATCATTTAAGAAGTTACAGAAAAAAAAGTTACAGCTATGTAGTAGAGCAAAAACAAAGGGTGAGAATAACTGAATAGAAAGAATTACTGGGGAGATCGACTTAGTGGAGACACGCGGGCACAACTAGGAACAAAGAAGGGTGGGAGCTATAAATAGCATTCAGCAGATGCCACACAGTACCCAGGGGCCTGCTCTGCAGAGGACATTGCAGACTTTTCCACTATGGATCTCCACAATTCCCATGACAGCCATAACCTTCCCACAGCTTTCACAGTAGAGGATCCCAGCATTCACCTGGAGCTCCACAGAGGCACTGGTAGCTTTTGCCACTGAGGGTATCAACAGCCATCACAACTGCTGATACTCCAGATAAAAAGATGCTGTTGAAAAAAGAAAAAAAAAGATGCTGCTGTGCCCCACTCAGAAAGAGTTGATGTTCTGCTGTCCCAGAACCAGGGCTGCCACCCCTTTCCCCAAACACACTGCAGCTTCCCCAGACTCCAGAGCAACAGATGCTCCACATACACCCATATCTCAAGCACAAGAACCACTGCCCCTGTGTGCTATTCAGATAGACCCTGGATCTGTTGCTGTTCAATGAACACATGCTTTCCAATCTCTGCCTCCACAGATACTCCAGGATCACCTGGGCCTGAGGCAACAGAGCCACTGACACTCTGGGCTAGCCATGGCCCCAGACCTTGGCATGCTTTCACTCTGTGAGCACCCTATCACTGCTACACAGGCCCTGTGCATCGGACACCATGCCGCCGCCACCACCACCACCACCACCTCCACTATTACACCACCACTACAAGGGAGCCCACAAACTGATACAAGGGATCCCCTTAGCCACAATATCTTCCATGGGAGAAAGGGTGATAAGTAGGCTGCCAGGAGCCTTTTTCACTGAAGAACCCAACAACCTTGCCACGGCTTTGGCCATTTGAGGACCCCCTGCAATCTTCACTGGCACTGACCTCAGCTGAAGGAGCTACATAGACACTGTGCCACAGTGCCTGCCCTGGAGCTGGAACCTCTATACTCGTCTGAGATTCCACAACACAGTCACCAATAGTAAAGATATTTCCCCACCAAAACCACTCCATGAAGTCTGGAAGAGGATACTTCCCTATCAAATATGCAGAAAATGCAAAAACACAAGAAACAACAACAAAAAAAATCCAGGAATTTGTTGAAATTTTCACCATTAAAATATGTTGTAGTTTCTCAAGTGCTTCTTCTGCATGTAATGAAATAGTCACATATGATTTTTACCCACTATTTCTTTAAATAAGCTTTCAATCTCCTTCTTCTCTTTTCCTTATGGCACTTGTTTCTTTTGATGATATTCCATGGATCGCATAGGATTTCTTTGCTCTTTCTCATTTTTTTCTTTGTTTTTCTCTGGTTGGATAATTTCATAATTCCTATCTTCTAACTCACATATTATTTTTCTTCTGTTTTATCCATTATGCTGTTGATGCTCTCCATTGCATTCCCCATTTGGTTCACTGTATTCCTCAGCTCCAGAATTTCTGTTTGGTTCCCTTCAATGATTTCTATCTCTCTGTTAAACTTCTCATTTTGTTCATGTACTGTTTTCATTTAGTATCTCTTTGTGTTGCAGCTCTTCGAATTTCCCTAAAACAGCTATTTTGAATTAAGTTCATTGAGCTACAAGAGAAACTGCTTTCATGAAAGAAGTACCTTCCATCAGCTCTGCTAGGGATTTTGAGGCTTTTTCACACCTTCTCTGGATATATCTGCTCCATCTTCTTGCTCCCTTTTGTGGCAGAATTCTTAAGCTTATAAGACTTTTCTCAATCCTGTAATGCACCAGGCTGAGTGATGGAAAACTGCCTTTTGCTCATGCGTGGCACTAAACAGCTCCAAATGCATCCAAACTCTTTTTTTTTTTTTTTTTTTTTTTTTTTTTTTTTTTTTTTTTTTGCTCCACTGATGTGCTGGAACTTCTCTTCTGGAAACCTGCACTTCCACAAAGGCTTTCTCATCAGTGGGTGATTGTCTAAGATAGTATTTTCTAGGCACTGCTGGACTGTAACCAAGAGGAGCAAAACCAGCTCATAAGTCACTGCAGGTCCACAGCTGGCCCTTATATTCCTATTCTTCAATGCACAGGTGGGTTGAGACTCCTCCTAAGTCCCTTGGCATATGATGCTGGGTCACATAGCTCCCACAAAGGTATTACCATAAAGGTCCACATATGAATGCCAAATTGTTGTTGTTGAGGGTGGAATCAATGAGGGACATTGTACCAAATACTTAATGAAGAAATAATATTCTCAGAAAACAGAAGAGGACTTTTCTTGTACTTTCTTTTCTTTTTTTTTTTTTTTTTTTTTTTTTTGAGAGAGAGAGAGAGAGAGAGAAAGAGTGAGCATGGGAGAGGCAGAAGGAAAAGGAGACAGAGAATCTTAAGCAGACTCCATGCCCAGCATGGAGCCCAATGCAGAGCTCAATCTCACAACCATGAGATCATGACCTGAGCTGAAATCAAGAGCAGAAACTTAACCAACTGAGCCACCCAGGCACTCCAAAAGGGAACATTTTATATTCATTTTATGAGTGTAACATAATTCTCACACTAAAATCTAACAAAAATATTTACAAAAAATATTATAGCTCATATACCTCATAAACACAGACAAAAATTCTTAGCAAAACATTAATCAAATTTAAGAATACATAATAAAACAATAACATAATAAATAGGTTTTAATCTAGAAATGTAAATTTGTCTACCCCCTGTAAAACTGATGAATATAATCTACCATCTTAACAGACTATTACAAAAATATAATCATCTCAACTGAAAAAATTCAACACCCATCTATGGAAAAACTAAAAATAGAAGGGAATTACCTCATCCTTATAAAGGATATTCAGGAAAAACCTGTGACTAATATCATACGGGTAACATTATACATATTAACTAAGTATAATACTTAATGCTTTCCACCTAAAATCACTAAAACATTGATGTTTTACTATTCCTTACTATCTTCATTCAACATTGACCCTGTAGAGTGGAATAAGGAAATAAAAATAAGTATATGGCATACAAACTGAAAAATAAAAAATAAGACATTCTTTTTTCTCAAAAGATATGATTGTGTGTGTGTGTTAGCATGTGTGTTGCACACATGTGCAAAATCCAAGTCAACAAAAAACACTAGAAGAACTAGAAAGCTAGGTACTGCAGTACATTAACAAATTCCAATGATCTCTGTGAAAGGTCACTTTTCAGACAAAAAATGTACATAGAGGCACCTGGATGGCTCAGTCAGGTAAGCATCCAACTCTTGATTTTGGATCAGGTCATGATATCATGGTTCATAAGATTGATCCCCACATTAGTCTTTGTGCTGACAGCAGGGAGCCTGCTTGGGATGCTCTCCTTCCTCTCTCTCTCTCTCTCTCTCTCTCTCTCTCTCTCTGCCCTTTCCCCACTCACTCTCCCTCTTTCTCTCAAAATAAATAAATATTATTTTAAAAAGTATATAATCAGTTTGCTTCTAGTAGTAAATTTTATGTCAAATTTGTTATCTTTGTTCATCCTTGTCAGCATTTATATAGGAGAGAATATATTTTAAAAATCCCTGAAATCCTTGGACATTTGTGTAATTATCAGGCACATATACACAATGCATGGTAAATTTTTTTCTTATGATGATTCAGAGTAAGTGCTCTGAATTCTTATTAAATGGTTTTGTCATTTAACAGTTCTGTATACCTACATCATAGTATGGCTCCATGTTCTCTGGTAACAAATTAGAATAAGACTTGTCTATACTTAGTAGATATCATTTTGTCTCACTACATCAGATCACAGATAAAAGATCAAGGTACAAAAATCAATTATATTTCTACTGATAAGCAACAAACAACTGGAAAACCAAGTTTCATGAAAACAATACTTTTTACAATAGCATCAAAATCTAAAACATAGATAGGAATAATGTAAAATAAAAGTATAAAAAACATGTTCACTATAAACTAAAAACACTTCTTAAAGAGCATGTTCATGGTTTGCAAGACACTACATTGTCAATAATCCAGAATTCATCTAAAATTTAGTACAACCTCAATTAAAATCCTAGCTAGCATTTATTTTAGAAATTGGCAAATTCAGGGGCACCTCGGTGGTTGAGTTGGTTAATTAAGTATCCAACTCTTGATTTCGGCTCAGGTCATGACCTCATGGTTCGTGAGTTCAAGCCCTTGCGCTCTGTACTGACAGTGCAGAGCCTGCTCGAGATGCTCTCCCTCCCTCTTTCTCTGCCCCTCCCCCACTCATGCTGTGTGTCTCTCTCTCTCTCTCTCTCTCTCTCTCTCTCTCTCTCTCTCCTTGTCTCAAGTAAATAAATAAACTTTAAAAAAAAATTCTGGGGGTGCCTGGGTGGCTCAGTCAGTTAAGCGAACGACATCAGCTCAGGTCATGATCTCACAGTTTGGGAGTTTGAGCCTTGCATTGGGCTTTGTGCTGACAGCTGACAGCCTGGAGCCTGCTTCACATTCTGTGTTTCCCTCTCTCCCTGCCCCTCCCTCACTCATACTCTGTCTCTCTTAAAAATAAATAAACATTAAAAAAATGTTTAAATAAATAAATAAAAATTATGTTTAGAAATTGGCATGTTAATGTTAAAGTTTAAATGGAAATGAAAAGGACACAGAAAATCCAAAGCAACATTGAAAAAGAATAAACAAAGTTGAGTAATTTACATTACCTGATTTTAAGGCTTATTGTAAGCTAAGGTAATCAATAACATAAGGATAGATAAACAGATCAATGAAGCAGAAGAGAATCCAGAAATGGAACTATCTTATATTATCAATCAATTTCTAACAAGATATCAGATCAACTGAATGAAAAAAATCTTTTTGAGAACTGATGGAACAACTGGACAAGCTTATGGGGGAAAATTAAGCTCAATCCTTATCTCATACCATACACAAAAATTAATTTGATTTAAAAGAAAAGCTAAATCAAATAATTTTAGAGAAAAACATAGAAAAATAATGTGCATGACCTTGGAGCAAGCACATGTTTCTTAAAATAACTATAAAAGAAAAATATTCGATACACTAAATTTCATCAAAATTAAAATTTTCTTATATGTCACCATAAAAATGTGAGAGAGGAAGACTCATACTGGGAAAAAATACTCAAAATATTTATATTTTAATATGTACTTGAATACAAAATGTATAAAGTACACTTATAAGTCAATAATAAAAGGAAAAAACCCAATAAAAATGGGCAGAAATGTGAACACTGCAAAAAGAAGATATATATCATGTATCATATAGTCAATCACTAAATAATGTGCTCAACATACTCAATATCATTTAGTCATGATAGAAATATAAATTAAAGCCACAATGAACTATCACTTCACATCCACTAAAACGACTAAAATTAAGAAAAGTAACAATATGAAATGTCACCAAGGATATGGAGTAACTGAAATTCTTACATTGCTGATAGAGTACTAATTAGTGCAATATTAGAAAACCATACAGGTTTCTCATAAAATTAAACACACAGCTACTTGAAGACTGCATTTCCACTCCTAAATCTTCACTCAAATGAAATATGTATTTTGAAGACTTATGTATGAAAGTTCACAGCACCATTATTCATGATAGAGAAAAAAACAAAACAGGAAATAATCCAAATGTCCATAAACAGGAGAATGTAAAAGCTATTAATAGTATACTCACACAATGAAATACTATTTATTGTATAAAATTCAATAACAAGTAAAATTAATCTATGATAACAGG